AGCTCCTCTCACAGCGATCGCAAAAGACTGCCATTTCTTCTGACTCCTTGGACGTATCGGCACACCCCGATGGCGGCTGTCGATGATCGTCGACACTCTCTTGCGAGATGAAGCGTCGGTTGCAACTATCGCAGACGAAGTTAGGCGTGCCATGACCGGTTTGACGTTGGTGAAGCTCCAGTACGTGTGAGTCATCGAAATCCCACTTGCAGACATTACAAAGGAGTCCGGGTGGTGCAGTGTGGCGGAAGTGAGCTTCCGTATGGCGGCTTAGTTCGGCCTTGGTGATGAAGGTCTCATCACAGATACCACACTGGAATGCCATGTGAGATTCTTGCCTCTGCGCCATCATCGGTAAAGGTAGGCTGTCTCTTTATGAGTGAGGATACAAGGGATGGAGTAAGAGGACTATGTTTGTGGGGTAAAAACACAAGCGGCAAGCACGACGGAGGTGCACGGACGGTTCACTATCGCATGGTGACCTTCTCACGGGCAAAAAAAACCTTCACTCCGGCACTGCATGAGGAGTGTGAAAATGAGGTGAAAGCCCCGGTCGATGACAGCACAATCTGGCCGGGCAATCTCTATGGCCGCCCTTAAGAAGTATGCCAGCTACTCACTTTTCAGCACCGCTTTTCTGTTCATCTCTTTTACGCTACCTATGATTCGGAAACGATGAAGCGGGAATCTAGAAAGACAGAGCCAAGAAGAGTGGCAGAAGTGAACTTCCAGTACCCAACATGGTCACTTCTCCTGCTGCCTTTCAACGCGTTTCTCTTGCCAGCTGCAATACATCAACACACACACACACAAAACTGAGAATGCCGGGTGATCAAGGTCTTCTATACGTTCCGGGGTTTCCGTGAGCTCGTGGCTGTTGGCCATTGAGCATCACATGGCCCCTTTACCTGTGGATTAGTTTGTCGTTATGCTGCAATCATCTTGTCGACCAAGGGTCCACTGACGGCAGTTATACTAGCTAGTATGTACCCCATATTACCCCAGATTTACCAGCGATCGGGGAACAACCCCATACACTTTCTCAATCTTACCCGTCGTAATTCCCCACAAAGCCACACGCATCAGGATAGTAGTAGCTTGCGTACCCCAAGCTCCTAACCAAACGTGGATGCTGCATTGCCGTGGGCTGGTCTGTGCCCCACTGAACAAGTGGTAAAGGAATCGATAGCTCCATCCGTGATGTCTCAGGCCCGCCCCATGCTTTTCCTACAGCTATGCGAAGGATTGTGGAGTAAGAAGACGTACCTACCGCGTATGACTGGCAACTATTGTGGCGCTAATGCGCCAAATCAGATTCCATCTTCTCGCTGTGATACGTGTAACAGATGCTGTGGGGCCTTTGCGGGGTATCTAGCGTGTTTTCACACTCCGCAAAATCCGGAGTGGCTGAGCTACTCGTCTTGGCTTCATGGCAGCTGGTTGAACGAGGGCAAGCACAGGTACGTAGTAGGTTCTCTGCATCTCTCTTAAGTACATCTATGCTCCATTCAGACATGTCATGCTCGTCAGAATGCAACTAAGCACCCTGCTGATAGACATTAGCATTGCAATGTAGGCTAAATACACCCGAAGCCATGCATATCCATATGTTGGGACTTTTAAGGTAGCCCTGCATAGCCTTCAAACACAGAAGACGCGCTACTGTTTCCCTATAACAAGGTCCACGTGCTTATAGGCCCGTTTCCCCAATCTTGTCCTGCGAAAATAGATGAAATGCCGATCACCCTCTGTGGGGCTCTATATGCAATGAGTGTAGGAATTGTGTGGGGTGTTTCGCTGAACATGTTTTAGGCAATAGACCACCAGTTGGGACATGTCACCCTGGTCTGGTTGACAACGGATGTTTTAGCCAGTAACTGGGGATCGCATATCCTTATTAACATGCGTATTGCCCCAGATTTCCACCCTGACCAAGCATCACCACTTTTAAAGTGGTCGCCATCTTCGATTCGGATCTGTACAACTTCTTGCTAGACCTTTGTTTATTAATTATCCTCTTTTCTCCAAGTCGCCCTCTGGTATAGTGACACATCATGGGGTTCCTAGGAATCGCTGAGGATAAGCACCTTGCTCATGTTCCAGCAACTGTGATTTTGAGCGAGGATCAAGATCCTCTAACCAATGTCCCTGAAGGAACCGCTCCCCCCGCCGGACTAAAACGTGGCACTGGCAAAGATTCAGAAATCATTCTAATTCCACAGCCGTGAGTCGGTCAGGTACCACAACCAACAGCAGGATTGACAAATAAACAGGTCTGAAGATCCGAATGATCCACTCAACTGGCCATATACCCAGAAGCTCGTTATTATGATGATTGTGGCCTATGGCTCGGTCCTCTATGCTGCTGTGCTTTCCCCTCTCCTGTCTCCCGCGCTGGTGGTCATTGCGCAAAAGTTTCACAAGTCTGTTCGTGACATTACCCTCATCTCAGGATACATGCTACTGGTTACTGGAGGTATTGGACCTATAGTCAACGCGCTGTCTCGCAAGTACGGAAAGCGTCCTCAGCTTCTTCTTGCGGCGCTCTTCGGCCTACTCGGAACTGTCATCGGCAGTGCCGCAAACAGCTATGAGGGCCTCATGGCCGGGCGCATCATTCAAGGTGGTGCTGTGTACGTTTGATACATGTGTACCTGTCAAGCCATGCTGACTGCAGCCAGGTCTGCTTTTGAATCTCTTGTTGTCTCGATGATTGGTGATCTATTCTTTGTACACCAACGCGGAGCTTTTATGACATTTATCCAATTCATCCTCGGAGCTGCATCCAACTTCTCGGCCATCATCATCGGACCCATTGCAACGAATCTTGGCTGGCGCTACCTTTTCCATATTCTTGTTCCTTTTGTAGCTACCGAGGTCATCCTACTCTACTTCTTCGTCCCCGAAACCAATTACAACCGCGACCACCGCTATGACATTGACGAGCTTTCCAACGAAAACCTAGCCGAGCTTGCCGCTATCGAAGTTGAAAAACAAAAGAGATCGAATGGCAGCGAGAAGGAAGGAAACGATGACTTTGAAAAGGTCGGGACGAACACTACTTCACGCTCTGCCATTCCTCCGAAAAAGACATATCTCCAATCGCTGGCCATCTTCACCGGAACCTACTCCGACGATAATCTTTTGCAGCTCGTAATTGCGCCTTTTGCCGTCTGCACCAACATAGCTGTTCTGTGGATGGTCTTCGTAACCGGTGGATTAACAGCCTTCTTTGTCGCACAGTCATACGTAATGGCTCAGATCTTCCAGGCACCGCCATACCTGCTCAGCACAGCTGGAGTCGGCTACCTTTCCCTCGGTCCCTTTATCGGAGGCCTCATTGGCTCCATCTTTATCGGAGTATTTTATGATCCCCTTATCAAATGGTGTGCCAAGAAGAACAACGGCGTTTACGAGCCCGAATACCGTCTCCTTGCCATGATCCCATCCGTGACCATAGTAATCGGCCTGTGCCTGTTTGGCCACTATGCCGAAAAGGGCTCTTCATTCTACCTTACTGCCTTCTTTCACGGCATGGACCTTTTCGGTATCGTCATCGCGTGTATCTCAGCCTCCTCCTATGTGCTCGACGCCTTCCGTGACATCAGCTCCGAAGTCTTCATCATCAACATGGTGTTCAAGAACTTTTTGTTTTACGGCTTTTCGTACTTTGTCAACAACTGGGCCGCTGCGGACGGGCCTGCAGAGGTCTTTTACGTCTTTGGCGGAATTGCAGGCGGCATGGTTATTACGGCACCCATCTTCTTCTTCTTGGGAAAGAAGTATAGGAGCTTTTGGCATAGGCATAATCTCCTGCAGAAATGGGGCATCTCGACGCATGCTGAGATTTAATGTTTACATTCATTTGGCCATGAAGAATAACTGTTCTCATAGGTTGCCAAAATATTAAGTGTTTTTTTTTGGGCTCTCATTTACTGCTTTGCTTCCCTGACTACCATGATTACTACTTCGTGTCGTCTATGCAGTGCAGTGAGACACTCTAGTCGAGCATGCTGTCGACAGTATCAACACAGCCAAATTCTGAAAATAGCAATGAGGCTTCCTGCGATAATATCTACGGACAAATGGAACCGAGTAGCTGCATATGCGGAGTAATTGCTACTACCCACGTCGTGCAGAAGTATCCACAACGAAAGCGCAAACCCGTGGAACAGCTATTCGTAGGCTCATGTATAACACGCGTATTATTATCACTCATTATACTCCCTTACCTAGGACACGGGGGGCAATGGAAGGAGCGAAAAGAGGGTCCAAGAATAGCTGCGCACCCACATACGTTCCCTTACTATCATTATCAGCAAGGTAACACGACATATCCCGATACAGCGTCACGGTACACATAGGAGAACCCTTAGACCCGCACAGGCAGCTTCTTAAGAGGCTAGAGTCCAGCATCTGGCAGCCTAGAGGGTGAGTATATGAGCTTGCACACGTGAGGTGGGTCGCACTGCATTGGCTCCTGCCCATGCGTGATTCCGATTGGACGCAAGTTTCAAAACATTTGCTGCAGGTAAGATGAACTAGAGTACACTGCGTCCCAAGCGGTGTTGCGCATCGAGGTTACACGGAACCCGAGGTGCTGAACAGGTCTCGAGTACGAGGAGTGCTCATTCAGCCGATGCGAGTGATGGACTGTTGTGCTAGAGAGGGGGTAGTAGTGATCATGGACTGAAAGGATGCGTCTCTCGTATTGGATACGTACGGCGAGTGCTATTGCATCTGTGTTCACATATTGCAGCTGGCATGTCCTTATCGGCGCTTCGCGAAGCTGTCACCGTACTGAACTGAGAGCATGCGCCCTCGGCTCGCCCAAGCCCCCCCTCACGTTCGCCTGGTGTGCAAACAAGTTGGGAACATGGCCAAGCAGAACGAACAAGCAACAGAGTGTGTCCGAACCGGACCAAAGTACCGCGAGGCCCATTTAGACGCCCACGACATCATCCAAGCGCTCACAATGCGCATAACCTGTGGCTGCAAGTTTAGGGGCACTCGTTAAGATGTGGCAATATAGCATGTTCGATTAAAGTTGCAGCCACCAGCGACACATTGCGCAATGTGCGAGCGCGTAATGAGTCTGGATTGCGAGCCTGTGCCTGAAAATCCGGCACTTTGGGCTGACAGCTTCAAGCCTCCAGCCCTAATCGAATAGTCTTGGGGCGGACTGAGATCGTAGGGCTGGCGGTTAGGCATCTTCCATGTGTGTTAACGTGCGGGGCGGCCTCGAAAGGGTCCAGAGAGCGGCTAACGGTTGCTCGGTGATGGGCTGGTTGTTTGTACTTTACTCGGTTGAGTAGAGATCAGATGCGACATGGTCACATCTTGGGCCGCCGAGGCGATGACGTTGAGGCAGTGACTGCATCGTGGAAGTCTTCATCGTGTCGGACCAGTGTACGAATATTGATGCCGAGCCGTGACCGCTTCTTGGTCGTTTGACGAATGCGAGCTCGCAAAGTGGCATTTGGGACTGGTGACATTCGCTAGTGTGGACACAGTACAGGTGCTTGGGTCAGGGAGCGGAAAGACAGCCGAAGGTCGGCGGTATGGTGAAGCTCTTGACCAAGTATTCCAATTACTTGTCGAAGCCATGTGCCGAGTTTTGCGGCGAGCTCAACGCTCATGCTGTAGGTAGTGCATCTCAGCACTGGACGGTGTGCAAAGCTGGATGGAGATTTGCAGCCAACCAGGATGGGCCTCGAAAAGCTTGTTTGTGCGCTAGTCCCAGTTGGGGTGGCCGGCGCTTACACTGTCCATCGACGTCCAGTCAAAGGCTCGCAACACCACCACCCCGCTCCACCATCTCGCTCTTCCCGTGCATGGCTGCAAGCAGCCCGAGCAGGGCCTTCAGGGCCCAATTCCTCCAATTCGCCCACCCAGCGGTCATGCGAACGAAGGACAAGCCCCATGCTGATATCCGCTAATCCACCAAGCGGAGCTGGCCCTACCGACGGACGGGAACCCTACACCCACGCAAAGGTCGGTGATACGACTGCGGCTGCTGTCTTGTTCCCTCGACGACTACGCTAGAGCCCTAGACTGATGAGCAGGATTATGCTGCGGCCCCGACATGATGAAATGTCTCACATGAGATGGAAAAAGAGGGCCACGTACACGACACGGCAGTGCGCGCTGTGCAACAGCTCTTACGCTGCTCGACATGGAGAACCGTCGTGTTTGTGCGTACGCCTGTATGTCGTAAGGGACCAGAAACCAAGCACACAGATACTTAGCATGAGGTGCCTGATGCAACCGAAAGCGCCCCTCGCTTAAAAGGGAAGACCAAGATCGGTCCGCTTCCTTGCCGTCCGCTACTCGCCAGTCACAGCCCAAGGCCCAGTGCATGAAGCGCATTCCGGTGATAGCTGCAAAGCCCTTCGATAATCTAATGTGTTTTGATGCAGGCTGCGAGTGTGACGGCGCGCTTTAGGCTCTAGATTACCCTTTTGAGACGCCCCCGGCCTGGACTGGCAATCACATCTTGGCCCAATAGCGTGGGCTTTGGTGAGCGGCAGAATATCATTCTCCATTTGCTGCCACGATACGACAATCCTATCCCCTGCGAGTCACCCGCACCCCACTTGGCCACAGGACTTAAGGAACTGGGCTCCTGCTCGCGCACGCTACCTGGTTTTCAGCGCGCATGCCCCGTCCGGTATCTCGACAACATCTGCGAGCATTTGGACCGGATACCGTCATCGCAAAGCAAAAACAAGAGGTGGACCTAGCTTCTTACCAGACGGGGTCGATCCTACACCGCAGCATAATATCAATCCTGGATCCAGTTTCCGCCGCGCCGCGGGAGCGCATGGTCACAACAAACGAGCCTTGACCTTGTCATCATCCATGTAGAGCCGGGACCCCGGATGTCCTTCAAGCAATCACCTTCTCGAACCCATTACTCGTCGGTCCAGGACGCGTCTACGTTGCAGTTCAACTTCTGCTGGCAGAGGTGATTTACGAAACAAACACCACGCCGATTGTTACAAATACCACACACGAACTCGAAGATGCCAGCCCTTCGGGAAGCTCTCATGGCACGGACAGGCGTGGCCATGGGGCAGCTGGGTATCGCTGTATCGCACGCCGAGCACAACATCGCAGAATCCGTCTCTACATTACTACGGCGGGTGAATATCCCATTCAACAGCACAAGTCCGCCCGGCTTGATAGAAGCCAACACCGTCGACCCATTTAACAAGAGTGGAAAATATGCGTTGGCATATGTCTACTTTTGCATACCTCTGCTAGTCATTGCGGCGCTCATGCGATACTACCACCTATTCACGGACAAGATCCGGACAGCATTACATCAAGAAGAGGTATTACAGTCCTCGAAGACATCATCTCCCGCCACAGACTACGAGCTATCAGTACTTGATACTGACAAGTCCACCATGAAGTTCTTTCCTCGCGAAGGCCCGCTACCAAGTGTGCCAAAACAGCAATCTAGTGTTTCCTCAGTGGGCCCAATTAACAACCTGGTGGCCTTTTTCCGATTCGTCTTCTATCGACCGACTCCGCAAATTCAGCTCAAGAAAGGATGGAGGCCTATTGTGTTTCCATCTTTGTCGACAATTGTGATCGTGTCACTTGCTTTGATTCTAGGAGTGCTCTACTGCACCCTCCCTCAACCACTGTTCTGGGAAAGCATTGCCTATGGATCACCCCCACTGGCAGTTCGTTCTGGCATGATGGCGGTTGCCCTCATGCCTTGGATTGTCGCACTTGCGATGAAGGCGAACCTCATCTCCATGGTGACTGGCATCAGCCACGAACGATTGAATGTGCTGCACAGATGGGCAGCGTACATTTGTCTGGGTCTCAGTATTATGCACACTGTCCCTTTTTACGTTACCCCGGTCTGGGAAAAGGGCGCGAGAGAGTCTTTCAACCAGTTGTTCAAACAGAACGATGGAATGTACATTTACGGCACAGGTATGTTTGCTATTCTCAGTCGTCATGTATCATAAACTGATAGGTCCTAGGTATCGCAGCGCTTGTTCCCCTGTGTTTCCTTTGTATGCACTCGATCGCCCCTCTCCGCCACCGAATGTACGAGCTCTTTGTAGCACTCCATGTGCCAGTCTCCATTGTCTTTCTCGGCATGATGTTTTGGCATTGCAACAACTACCTAACATCGTGGGACTATCTGCTCTCGACCGTTGCCATATGGCTATCCTCCTATATTATGCGTCTCTTTTACCTCAACTGGACTCGTCCAGGACGTATGTCATGGCTCATAGGCGATGAGTGTGCTGTGACCCTCATGCCAGAGAACGCCATCAAGATCACCATTCCAACTCAGATGAAATGGAGGCCTGGACAATATGTCTATCTCCGCATGCCTGGCATCTCTGTGTTCGAGAACCACCCTTTCACTATCGCCTCGCTCTGCAGCGAAGACTTCCCTTCGGAATATGGTGAGGGCTACCGCGACATGGTCTTGGTCTTCCGACCATTTGGTGGCTTCACTAGGAAAGTCCGTGAGAAGGCCCTTCAACATGGTCCATGGCATACTTATCGTGCCTTTGTCGATGGTCCCTATGGAGGCATGCAACGACGCATCGAAGCCTTCGATGATGTTGTGCTTATTGCCGGCGGTAGCGGTATTACCGCCATTGTCTCTCAACTTCTATCCTTGATTAAGAAAATGCGCGATGGCAAGGCAGTCACACGCAAGATTCACGTCATCTGGGCCCTCAAGCGTCCTGAGACGATGGAGTGGTTCAAGGAAGAACTTCGCATCTGTCGAGAGTATGCACCGCCCGAGACAGTAGAGTGTCAGTTCTACATCACTGCAGCAAAGCGCAACATTGCTGGTGGACTGGTTAGTGCAAAGACACCGACACGTCCAGTGTCGCTCTACTTCCACGACAAGGTCAACGATGCTTTTCAAAATATTGCTGAACATCGCTTGTCCGGCATCTCGTCCAAACGACACTCAGCCCTCATCCGCGACGAAGCGCAAGGCGACCCGGAGAAGGAGTCTGAACTTCGACGCGAAAACGAAGACAGCATTACCGCACTCCCACAGGCGCACTTGCTGCCTATCAACAGGGGCCATCTGGCCCCACCACGTCCCAGCCACGACAACGGCAGTATCTCCGCAGAGTCAGCAAATAGCTCGAATCCCGACCTCATCGCGCCGGCGCCACGCGGATTGGCTGCCCGCCGTCAGGAGCGCAACCTTTCTCTTGATATTTCGCAGGCTGTCGCGGCCGGCTCTGGGGCAATGGCCCCGAGCATCGTCCACAACCCTACTGAGACTACACAAGGGTTTGACTTTGGTTTCCCCTCGACGCCCACCGAGTTCCAAAAGAACCTGATGCGCTTTGCCTTTCTGCCAGCCGCCGTCAAGAAGAAGGACGGGTGGAGCACAGAATACGGACGCCCAGATATACCGTATCTACTCAGGGGGCTAAGTAAAAACTTTGGCAGACGCACTTGTGTCTTTGTGTGTGGACCACCGGCAATGCGCATCAGTGTCAGCGAGACTGTTGCGCAGTTGCAACGAAGCGTGTGGAATGACAGTGGGCGCGACGAAATCTTCCTTCACGCCGAGAACTACGCTTTATAAAGCGTTCATGGTCACGCGGCCGTCCCAACTTCCCTTATTTCCTTCCTTGTGCATAGCGTTAGTAGGCTTGGTGTATATACCCTTTTCTTTTTCCTTTTTGTTTCCACTATAGCTGTATATGTATGACGACTTGAACGAACATGAGCAAGTCAGCTCTCCTTTTTTATAAGCAGGATACCCCAGGCTAGAAGCTAATATGGGTAAATCTAAACCTTGTTGTTTTATGAAACAAACTTTGAACCATTGTCACCAAATATTCAAGGATACGCGTCAAGTGTGCCAGAGTCTTGACAGGCACGAGCGTATTGTCACAGAAATGGTGGTGTCTTGCTTATCCAGCTCTTTTTCGCGGTGAAGGGCTGCTGTGCGCGGGGGAGGCGTGCTGCCTCGGTAAGTCTTGTGCTCTTTTGTGAAAGCCACATAAAAGAGGTTTGATTGAGGCGTGGCTGTCGGTGTATGTGCGCAGCGGTAAAGGCTCATCACGCTGCTCATGGCATTGTCACCTTCTGCATCTGGTTCGTCCATGGCCGGACGGGAGTTGTGTTCACCACCCCCTCCTCGCCCCAAGGGAGCTGGTGGGGTCAACATTCACCCATGGACGTAACGGCACAATCAGGACATCCTTGTCGGGTCGAGACAAGAGGGTGTGCATGCGGAGTTGGTGTCCCGCGCTTCGATGGCTCTGTATGGCACAGCACTGGGGGGTAAATAAGCGCACAAAAAAGCACAACGGTCATGGTGGTTCAGCGTCGAGTGGCGGGTTCTGGTGGACGAGTGGAAAGGGAAGAGAGAGGAGGGGCTCGCAGACGGCCGACTGCCGTACATTACTATGCTCGCTTGATTGCGATACGTGCAGCGTCGCGAACAACCGCACGACTGCAAGCATCATTGCACAACCGCCAGACAGCTACACACCCAGCGGAATCCGGGCGGCAGGACGTAGGGCTGCAGCCGGGGCTAAGAGGAGATGAGGGTGTGGGATAGTTGGGCGTTCGCAGGTCTTTGCTTTTCTGGGGGTGGGTGACATAGGCTGGTAGGTCTGTCTGGCACTTCCTCCCCTCCCCCAATACCTAGCCGGCCACTTGGCGGGCCTCAGCCGCCCCGTCCCCCATAGTCCCAAACAACATCAGCTTGCATATCCCCACCCCCCCTCGTCTCCCATTTCCTCCTCGACGCATGTATGTCGTAACGTTCCCCAGCAGCTTCATAGCCCATTAGCAACAATTGCTACAGCAGAAATCAAGCACGGAGCGTCACACCGCACATACACACACATACACACACGCACACCTGCACGTACACACACACACACGCACCAGAGGGAAAGCAGACATACAGAGAGAGACCAAGCAGGTTCCACCCGACCGACCATGTTCTTAAGATAATTATGTGCACATGTCTGCCATCCCAGTGTCTGAACTGGGCCTCAACTCGAGCGAGAGCAGATATCTCCAGCAGCAAATTGCCGCCTCGCAGCAAGGCTCCAATTCGTCGCGCGCTGCTTCTCACGCCTCTAGCCAGGGCCGTCTCCTCCTGGATCCTTCTAGTTTGCAGGCGCTCAGCGCCCATTTTGATCGTCTGATGTATTCGATCCAGCAGCGCTGGCAATACGTGAGTTTCTTTCTTTCTCTTTCCCGCCTTCCTCCGTCTATATTGTAGTAGAATGAGGATATACACAGACGTTCCAAAGCTAACATTCCCTCTCTTCAGCTCACCCAACAGACCCAAACAGCAACCCAAGTGCAGTACGACCGCGCGGGCAACGCAATGGCAATGGCCGACGCGGAAATCGCCCGCTTCCGCGCCATCCTCCGCGAAATCGACGAGCTCGAGGTCGAATTTGACAAGGTCCGGCGCATTGGCGAAATCGTAAAAGGCTTCAAGGCCCGTGTGGATCGCCTCGATCGCCGCATATAAATCTGGGGGCCGCCGCCCCCCCCTCCTCCCCACCCCAAACACCGAAACATTGTCTGGGCGATCCCAACATCTCATGTCTCTTTTTTTAATCTTTGGCCTTTCAATTCAGGTCTCGCTTTCCATGTCGAGATTATAAAACAGACTACCCAATGTCCTCGCGGACGCAACCGGATATATCCTATCCCATAGGCCTCCTTTGTTTAAACTGGAATTGCCTCGCGGCTACTAGGCGTTTATTTTTTTTCTGGCTTCCGCTTCCGCTTCCGCTTCGAACTCTAATTCCATTTGTAACTTGCTAGTCCTTTATTTATTTTTGCCAGGAAGATGCCACCGCCCTCTTCCTTGTGCCCTTTCTCCGGATTACATCAATTTGCTCATTTCCTTTATCGTACAAATTCGCAATTCCTTTTCTTCGTCTTCTGATCACCAGCATCCCAAGGGCTGTTAGATCAGGTGCAAGACGCCACCCAGGATCGGCGCTGCAGGAACCACCACCATCACCACCCTCCTCTTCCATGGCCTCGGTTTCCGTATTTCCGTGAAAACAAGTTCTTACTTGCTAGCTTATTTAGCTTCTTTTGTACATATTTTGTGTACATCGCCATTCCCCTTGTCTAGTGCTTTTTGCTTTTCTCCCGCTTTAGTTATATGTACGTAGTTTGTAGTTGACATGTCTGCAGCACCAATTGCAAATAGACCACTTCTTTTTCAGCCAATACTACCCCATTGATGACTCGTTATGTTCTACTTAAAGTTATTTCTTCCTTTCACAGCCGCTGTCTGGCTTCCGCGCGATCCCGAAGACATTCTGCACCAAAAAAGATCTACACACCCAACACCACACATTGCGTGCCACTGCCCACAACCACTCATCATCTCAGCATTACCAATCCAGGCCACTAACCCTCAAAAAAAATCCCAACTGCACAGAACGCAAAAAAGACGGATGATGACAAGAGTGGGACTCGAACCCACGCAGATTTCTCTACATGAATACTTCCTTACAAAGCAAGGAAAGCTTTTAATCGCTTGAGTCATGCGCCTTAACCGCTCGGCCATCTTGTCTGATGATCTTATTGATGGAAGACTGATGAGTTTTTTCATCTATATCCTCAGTTCCTCAGTACAGATGAAATTTGAAACGAGAAACGAGATGATAGTGGGTCATTCGGATTCGGTATAGCGTATCTCCCGCCCCACTTCTGTGCACTGGGTAGGGATTAGGCCGTTTTTTTTTGGGGGGGGGGGGGGACGGGTGAGGACAGGGTATATAGGAACAGATACAGATGCAGCATGGTGTGTCTTGGGATAGATGGTGATACGACAGGGTTTGTATCCAGATATTAGGGAAGCTGGGATGGGGGATCCTGGGTTTTCACGTGGCAAGGAAGAAGATCTCCCTTCTACCTCCTCCCCTGGCCTTGCTGGATGGAAGGTTTTTCGGAGCAGCATTGCACGTGCGGGGATTTCTTTTTTACATAGACATATATATGTGTAGGGTACTGGTGAGGGTGATATAAGAGAGGGGAGGGAGGAGGAGGGGCGAGAGGAGTGCATTGCATTCAGCCGATTTGTTGCGCGAGGTGGATGAAGGCGGAGAGTGCGTGTGTATGTGTGTCTACATGTGAATGGGGAGGGGTTTACTACGCAAACTTTGTTCTGCCAAAAGAGCCTTGAAACAAGGACATCCCTCTGGTGTTTGCCAGCGGTGAAGGGTGAGGTCGATATGATTTCCGTCTCTTTCACGATGGAGATCGTGACGACGTTAAGGCTGGTGGTATAGTAGAGAGGACATATATCGCACCCCCCCCCTTCTATTTATACAAAAAAATGAAGGCGGTAAGATCGGTGCAACGTAGCCACCTTGTTATAGGCGTGTGAGGACAAGTGTAACATGGATTTCTCATATCCGGTGAGGTTTATCTGGAAGGTTTATTTGCTCTCTTTATACTGGCGATAAGGCAGGGTCTTTGCGACGATGTTTGTTCATCGTTTACAAGAAACAGGTTGGTTCAAATGCAAAAAATCGGAGGTCATGTGCTCCACCCTCCTGTCATGCCGCGGGGAGCGCGATAGCCAGTGTGTGAGTGGATACTTCACATATGTATGAGGCTGGCGAAAAACGGGAAACGGGTCTAGAAACTTACACAATGTAGCACGTAAATCATTTAACCCGGATCTGCGCTCCCGACTTGCCGTGAGAACACCCTCACTCACCATGACGCCCAATTTTTCCTTTGATTTTTGTTTTCCTCTTTCTCTTGGATGGCTAGGCAATTAGACTTACTGCCCACTAACCTTGCCACCTTACCCCCTTCCCCTTTCCGCGCCCGTCCACACACGATGACGACGTCGTCGGCAACGCGCGCACCGAACCTACCTTTTCCCGCACACTTACCGAATACCCGGTTTCCCACAAATTGGCGAAGAAACTGAGAGTTTGCGAGCGCACCTTGCTAGCCACCCCCACGCGCGCACCACCGGTTAATGCCAAGGGGTAAAGATCCCCACGCATAAGATCCTCTTCACCCATGTCCAACTATCCGGCCCACCGTTCCCCGGTTCCGACGATGCCCATCGCGCATGACAACGTTGGCGATACCGCCAAGGAAACCTGAGTATGATATCGGGCGGTGAATGCGAAATCCAGCCTTACTACAACCCCACTAATTGCCTCACCTCACCTTCGCGACGCTCAGTCCGGTGGGGTTTGGCCAAGTTGTCTTGCGGTGCGCCATGAGCAAAGGCGTCGGGTTGCCATGCATATTCTCAGTTTGTGCCCCCGGGTAGCCTGGCGCACCCTGGGAGGACTGGGGGGGGGTCTTTAATCTATCCGCGGACGGGAGCTTCCCGATAGCAGGTATGTCGTTTGCTGTCGATAAATTGAGTGCGGGACGGGTGAAGGGTTGCAAGGCAAGGGATGCAGGACAAACGTGTGATACCGTTGTGGTACGGAAGGAAAAAGAAGGGCGATGGAAGGGAAAAGGGAAAGGGAAGTTGGTGGCCGGCGGAAAGGCGGGTAGGGAGGGTGTGGAGCCGTCTTTATTGGAAACTGCTAGTATACACTTTTGGTTTTTGTGAAAGTATGTGTGTCGGTGAGGATAATGTGATGATGCAGTTGCTAGGCTGATTCCGAGGCAGTGATGAGAAGCCACGGGACAATCGGTACATGCATATGTTCATCGGAACTGTCCGCGATCTGGGTATGTCTTCGAAAGTCAGATACTCGGAGATATTCAACCGATCGATGACGTCCAGTTTCCGGCCGTCTCCTAGGAGAAAGGGGATACGAAGAAAGGTAATACGAGAATAGAACCTAACGCGTAATGACACTAGTGTTTTTGTAGCATTATCGCACATCATTACAGTTTTCCGTTGGAAGGTATGCAAAGATGCATTCGGACGTTTAAACTTTGTGCATCAGTCTGTGTGTGATAGAGTTTTGATGTTATAATTGTGCCATATTATTGATGAGGTAAGATTTCGTCTACTGTCCGTATAACAAGGATGTACCGAGGCTCATGGACTTCGTGTTGCTAAATGTAGAAAAATATCGTGGCGGATCCTACAACAAGAGAAGTCTGCGAAGACAGACCTTATGGACGTGTGATTGTTGAAGTGGTAATGGATAAAAACATCCATCTACATAGTAAACTATGAAAGGAGAGAGCGACGTCGCTTCCGATCCCCATCTACGCAAGCACCATGTACGAAGCCTTCTAAGAATAAAACTATACTAAGCAAAGAACGTGAAAGATGATGCATTAATGCAGGAAAGACACAGCCTCCTCTTTCTCCATGTAACCCACGCTAAAAACGAAACGAGCAATCATTAAAAGGAAATGGCTTACAAAAAGCTCCTCATAAGGAAAAGTCCCACCATTGTGGTTTCCGGATACAGAATTGCCCCCCTGGCCGATCACTTCAGCCCTACCCTTCACCATATCGCTCCCCTGTTCCGGCATAAACCGAGGACACTGCATTATCTCACTTACTTTCTCCTTCCCCGGGCGTTTTCACAATCCTCACCTCAGCACTTGAGGGTTCAATACTT